TGGGGGTAGGGGGCAGCCCAGTGGGTAAGAATAAAAGAAAGAGGAGATGTAACTTGAGAACTAAGAGGGAGAAGGCATGTTGAGAGGGCCAGGGAATGAGCTGTGCCAAGACGGCCTGGCAGTGACCACAAAGTAGGATATGACTGGGAATCGGATGGAATAGGCCGTGGAGGACGAGCCGATGGTGTGGGCGAGAGAACCGGGGAGCCAAAGAGCATCGGGAGGATAAAGGGGATGAGGCTGCAGATACGGCGAGCACCCACCGTCAGAGAAGGGTCTCGAAAGGGTTAACAAGACCGGTCCTGTAACCATGTAAGCCTGATCTAGAGCAGGAGACGAAGGCAAACAGCAAACGTCTAAGGAAAGAAACTGTCGGTAAGGAGGCTGTTGGCTCTGCATCGCATCAGGTGGTCAGAGAAGGCCTGATCACAAAGGCTCGTTTCTGCAGGGCTGTGCCAAGGGGACCCGCAATAGCAGTCCTCAGAAAGTCCCATGGCCTAGGCCGCAGGTGTGTTACACGCTCGTTCTCAACACGGACAGCAGGTCAGGAAAGGAGTTCACACGTCCACTCAATGACAGAGTGCACAGTGCCTGGGAGGCACCGGACAGGGGTTTTCCCTGAGGTGAAAAAATGAAAATGCGTGGGTATACCACAGTGCAGTGACGTTCTGGAGAGATGGGCTCGTTAACTGAAGTCAGATGAAAGAACGATGAACTGTCACATGACAGACAGTGTTTGTAATGAACAGAGAAAAGAAACTCGGTGATCTCGGTACGGGTGTCTTCTATGGAAGACTTTCCAACTGAGCGACTGGCATTTGTTGGAATGGGTTGAGAGGCTGAAAAACATGATGCAGTAAAGCCTAATGGTCCAATAATAAAAATGGCCCTTGGCTCTGTGGTCTGCACAGGAGGTGGGACAGAGCGGTTAGACAGGGAGGGGCCTCTGCAGGAACCCCTGGCAGAACGTCCCACACACTGGACCGGCCCAGTAAGCGCCCAGGAAGGAGAGCTGCTCATTGAGAGTGGATGCGACACAGGAATGCCGCCTCGAATGCTTTTCTGACATGGTCCGGGTAAGTGAGGAATTCTTGGAGGAGAGGAGATCAACTTTTTCAACAAACTGCCCACATATCATGGTGTTTACTTAAAGCAAATGTTTTCCAGACAAGGTAGATTTTTGTGCATTTATAAATCAATGGGAGCAGCAAAGGTTCAGGACACCGTGGAAGGAAAGGCGAACTGAGGGGCCTGGAGGGCGAGTGTCTGTTGAACAGCGGGAAACTGGATGTGCTGAGGAGGACAAGGGGCAGGAAGCGGAGAGTTTCAAAATGAAACAGTAACAGCTTTGATTGATCAAATACCCTGTGTCTGGGGCCATGCTAATCATCTCATTTCATTTCATTTCATCTTTATAGATATCCTACCAGGTTTACACAAATCAAATAACTGGTTCAAGGTCCCAGGTAGCATGCAGCAGGCCAGGAATTCAAATAGCTTGCTAAAACCAGTATTCCTTGCTATTCTACTCTGCTGTTTTCGAGCTAGAAAAGATCACAACCTGGGTTTCCCCTGTGGTTACAAGGAAAGCGGTTCTGAGAGGAGCCCTGCAGGGGCAGTGCAGAGGGTCTGAGGTGATGGCTAGAAGGGGAAATGCGAAACAGAGAGAAAGGGGGAAGACTCCTGTTACCATCTATGCTCTGGTACTTCACTTCTTCCACTGCAAAGCTAACCCTTTGGATTGGCCACAGATTACAAATTTTAGATTTCTGACTAAAACTAAAGAATAGAAAGGAGTTTGTTTGTAAACAGCTATCGGACGGGTGAAATATAAATTAACTGGTAGCCAAAGTTTATAGGTCCCAGTTTTGAAACACAATTCTACTTTTTTCCTCCAAGACGCACAGACAAGACCTGGTAACTACATTCTGGCACTGATCAGGAAACTTTTGAGTTTAACATAAAATTCTCTAAACACCAAATTTTTATAAATAAAACTCAACCGTCAAGCAAAAGAGTCCATAGCCAGCAGACCAAAGGTTGAAACCTCTGGGCTAATTTCTAAAAACTGTTTTAAAAAGAAGAGGGGCGAGAACATCTCCTCTATTCCTCTCACGGTGGACATGTTTTCTGTTGTTGCTGTTTTCCTAGAATATAGTAGTCTATGTAACTTCTGTAATTTCAGTATTGTTGTTTTGTGCATTTTAGTATTGTACAACTGCATTGGTTGGGTTCTGTTACTGCCGCTCCCTGGGCTGTGAGTACCTGAGTTATCCATGATCAAAGTGAACCTGGGGGAGGGAATGGTTTTCTCCACTGGGAAGGGCAGGATTCTTCAATGGGTTCAGCAGTTTACCTCCCTCTGAAATTCAGTAGTGGCATCCCCTAAAAAACAAACTTAAAAATAGGGGGAGCAATTTTTTCAAAAGGTGAGATGGCTACAAGAAAAAGTAGAGAGTCTCCCAGCATGATGGCAGAAGCCACGGGGCTACATTTAAGGCTGAGCCCAGGTACTAGTCTGGAACAAGGGTAAAGAAAAGTAGCTTCACCTAAATGTTCGGCCAGCTTCATTGCTGGCCCGTGGGCACCCTTCAGACGAATCTAATGAGAGAAACAGAGCTGGAAAGAAAGTGAAGGTACAAGGAAAAGGAACTAGAAAAACCTCACAAAGGGCTAAAGGAGGCAGTTACAGGTTAAAGTCAGGTGGCCTAAATGAAGCTCACAGGAGAAACACTGGAGGCTGGATAGGACAGTGCCTTCCCACCCCGGGGGCTGTGGAGCCAGGGAACTGCAGAGCAGACGTGCAGCTCCAACCAGGGCCGGAGGGGCCGCCCTGGGACTCAGACTCAGCAATGGTGCCAACTTGAATCTACCTCGTGCTGGAGTCTGAGCAGCCTGGTCCATGACCCCATCCAGACAAGACTGGGCAGGGGCTCCCAGGAACCCCCACCGAAGAAGAGAGTCAGGAGAGGGCCACGAGAAGGCAGGCTAAGCCCCAGATGTCACGGAATGCTGGCCAGGGAAAGTGGCTTACTCGAACTTTTTTGATTTCTTGTAACTCTGTAACTTCCCCAGTGTTTGTTAATTTTGTTAACCTCCGACTTTCCTGTACTTATTAGAAGTAAAAAATTGTTCAAAATATAAATGTGACACGTGTGCTTATTTCTATGAAAACTGCGTAATTTTGTGTTTTGCAGTGAATGTGGGAAGAGAAGAACTCAGCTGGGAAAATGGGGTAAAGAAATCAAGCACAACAAATATCTGACATATATGAGAGATCAAAGGCCTTCCCAAATCCCCAGATTCGTAAATGCTGCCCTCGGCACCAGCAGCTGCCTCTCTCTTAGCAGCACTCCCCCTCCCCACCCCGACTGGGTAGCATCAAGTAGAGAAAGACAGCATTTCTCACGGGTGCTCAGTCATCAGCCTTATGCTACAAACCCTTCACAAACTATGTATTTTTACATTGCCAATAATTTACTAAATGTTGAAGTTTTCCTAGATGCACTGAAAGAAACAGGCCAGGATCCTTCAAGGAGCCATGAGGGGCGCAAACCTTCATCAATAGTTTTGATGTTCCAACAGAAAGCCCGAGTTCCTTTTCTGGACTACCACTGTATATATTCAGTTTCACTTTTAAGATTAAACATTCAGCAAATTTTACTCACTTAGTTTTTAAAGTTACTATTCCCTCCAGTTTTACAAGCATACATGTGTACACGCGCACACCCACACACCCACCCACCATCACTACATTAAATTCTGGAAAAGAACTATATTCTTGACGCCTGACCATGTGTCCCCACATTGTAAGAGCTTAAGAAGTATGGCCATCTTAGCCATAGAAGTATCTCCTCCCCTCTGGGGTTAGTACCTGCTGTGGGGTCGTCATCAGGCAAACGGACGAGGGTGTAACATATTCCTGGTTGGTTGTAAGTGAGGCTGGCGGCTGGGATGCAACACAGCACCTCACAGGAGTCTGACGGTTCCATCTGCACTGTTACCTTCTCCAGTAGCTGGTCATTGAGAGTATTGGTGCAGTCAAACTGAAAAGTCGGCAGATGGAAAAGGTGTGAAGAAAAGAGATGACTCCAACAAGTTGTTCCTTCCCACTAGTAACCTATGCCTCGGCTCTGGTGCCCCCTGTACCTTCTCTAAGTTACACAGTGGGGGGGGGGGGGCTGGCACTGTGGCACAGAGGCTTGGCATCCCGTATCAGAGCACTGATTCAAGTCCCAGCTGCTCCACTTGCGACCCAGCGCTCTGCTAATGCACCTGGGAAAGCCGCAGAAGACGGCCCAAGTAGCTGGGCTCCTACAACCCACGTGGGAGACCAGGATGGAGTTCCAGGCTCCCGGCTTTGGCCTGGCCCAACCCCATCCATTGCGGTCATTAGGGGAGTAAGCCAGCAGACAGATCTTTCTGTCTAGCCCTCTCTGTCACTCTGCCTTTCAAGTAAATAACAATCTTTTTTTAAAAAAAAAAAAGTGGAAAATGAACTGTACTATGGGTCTCTCTGAAGATTTCCTGTAGGTAACATGAATAGTCTTGGTCTCGAGGTCTTTTCTTTACCTTATTCATCAGTTTCTCCTCCCTGAGACTGAGCTTAACTTAAAGACAAATCTGATGCCCAACAGTAAGCTCTCTGATCAATCCACTTGATTTACCCTGATATAAAATGTTTTTTTTTAAATAGGTTATACTTTGTTGTCCAACCTCAGACATTTCCATTCTATGTCCTCCTGGATTTTAACCATTACAAGTTACCCATCCTATGAAGCAATCTCTGGTGCTGAGAAAATATGAGATGCTGCCAAGTTAATTCTCTACAAAAGAACTAGAATCATACATCCAAAGGGAGTGACACTTGTCCCACAGCTTACCAGTCTACGCTGGGTCCCTGCAGGAGCCCCGGCGGCTTCTCACCTGGAACACGATGTGGTGGGTGAAGATGTGCTTGATACAGCGAACAAAATACTCTGTCTCTGCTTCTGTCAGCTGAACAGGGTCAGAGGACTTGAACAAGGGCCCTAGGTTCATAAACTCGGGAATGGCCGCCAGTTGTTCTAGCACGGAGAAAGGAAAGGCACGTCAGACAAAAGGCAGGGAATTTACTCTGGATGCCTGAAACGCTTTAGCTTCCATCACCTCACTGTAGCTGAACACTCAACTCGGATGTCCCCAAGCTGCAGTTAAAGAACCTGTTTAAGTACAGGAGTTTATACATTGAATTATTAAAAGAGAAAAAACTAAATTCCCAGTTTCTAAGAATTTGCGTTCCCTGTTCAGCAACAAGATACATATAAAACAACAGTTGTAGTAAGTTAGCAAGTCCTCCACGGGAACTCGGTAGCCTCAGCAGCTATGACGTACGATTTTCTGCCACGTAGGGAAGACCTTACTATGTTGACAGTGCCTAGGCGCAGGATCAATGTTTCTACTCATCAAATCCTACCTTGGAAAATGTCTTGTCTGGAAGGAGCCAACTTCTCGGGCTTCGTAGCCACAAGTGTAATTTCTATAAAATACAGATAGGAGCAATCAAGTGAACAGCACAGACAGTATGCAATGAGTAGAAGCTTCCAGCAGATACATACTGAGCTATTACTGAATCATACCGATAGGGCCTGTGTCAAATGGTGGGGGGGGGGGCACATTCAAATTAAAATGTATTCAGTGAGCATATGTTTTGAAATAGTGAAGTAAGTCCTAACATAGATTTTGCTTTAAATGGACTGGCACATCCAAAAGCAAATACTCATAAAAGGAGGAACAATCTATAAAACAAATATTTTCAGGATCAAAATAGGAAATATCACTATATAGAATCAAAAGAAAAACTGAAAATGCTGAAAATTAAACATAAGATCTATCATTCCCAGTTCTGTATTCTCACCACTAGACACTTTCTTCCTTCCTCTTTGTTTTAAAGTCAGATATTTGTCCTATACCTTTGAAAACCATCTCTAATAGCAAAATTAAGAAAATGAAATAGGAGGGGACAACACAATTACTGCTCTGAGACACACAGTGGCAACGGGCTTCTAATGCTCTAGCACTACGTTCAGGAAAAGAAAAACTTTCCATTTTGGACACTCTTCATATTCTCACTTCTAAGCAAAAATCAGGAGATTAAAGAAAAACCTAATAAAGTCATCTTAAGACTTAACATATTTGGGAATGAGGCTGGCATGGTGGTGCAGCAGGTTAATCTGCCATTTGCGACACATGTATCCTATACTGGAATGCTGGTTCGAGTCCCAGCTGCTGCACTTCCAGTTCCCTGCCTGAGAAGGAAGCAGAAGATGACCCCAGTGCTTAGGCCTCGCACCCATGTGGGACGCAGTTCATTGCCCTGGCTTCAGCATGGCCCAGAACTGACTCTTGTGGCCATGTGGAGAACGAACCAGTGGATGGAGAATTTCTCTCTCTCTCTCATTCTGCTTTTCAAATAAATAAATCTTTAAAAAAAAATTTGGGGGAGTGACAATAAAAATAAGTATTGAAGAAAATATGCTAATATTTGAAAAGCTGCTCACACACAGGAAACCTAGCAGAGCTGACTGTCCTCATTACCTGCCTTCTGTTCAAAGACAGGAGCCATGGCCAGAGGAACTGATTTCATGTCGAAGGGTTTTTCTGAAGGTTCCAGCGTGTACTGGTGTAAAGCCTTCTCCATCCCTGGTACAGACACCGTCAGACCTGTGAAAAACAGAGAAGTCAGCATGATAGCCTCCTGTCAATCCTCGGATACAGACAGGTCTAAATCTGTAATATTAGCTTTCTGAACAAAGAGCAAAGTACAGCTATAGGTTTTATAACCTAAATAATTAAAAAATAAAGGCTATTGTGTAAGGCTGCTATATAAAATTATCAACTGTCTTATTTCATTCAAGGAAACATGGTAACAGAGCATAAAAATTTTCAACCAAATGTAAGCACCGCCCAGAAAAGAACAGTGAGCCATGTGGGGGCAACGATAGCGTAAGAAAAGGGAAAACGTTAACCCATCCAAGGGGGACTTCAAGGAGCACTGGAAGAAGCAATACTCTTTAGCTCTTTTGTACTTTAGGACGTAAATCCTTATAGATTTTTCATACGAATTACCAATAGCAAATGAGAAAACACCCTTGTGAACACAGGTTTCTCTAGAAAAGGAAGTACATCCAAAGACAAAATACCAAGCGTTTGCCTAGCGGAGTAAACTCATTCGCAAACCACAGTGAAACATGCTTCCAAAACACCTTAGGGGAACAAAAGTATCTTTATGTCGAGTCGTGGCTTTCACTGACCATTGCAGATGTAAGTGGCATTGAGGGCCATCTGTCTCTGCTGCAGCACGTTCAGATAGAAGGTGGCTCTGTCCCGCACCTCATCATCAGTATCCATCATGCACCTGCCAGGGAGAACGAGCATGGCATAGCACCCTCCAGACAGGTTAGGTCCTCGGATACCACCTTTAGAAGAGACTTCAACGGCAGCCAACACTGCCTCCTGCATGCTCCACAAATCTTGGGCACTGTTCTGAATTACTAAAAAAATCCTGTTACCATGAACAGCAGCACGTATGTAAGCAGGCACTGGAACAACTAGGAGCACAGTAACAGGAAAGAGCAGCTGGGATCCATCTGACTCTAACCACGTAGCCCCGATGGAAACTTCAGATTTCTCTATAGGTAACAAATGGGAATATCACACTTTCCAATGATACTAAGAAGATATATAGCATCCAGAACCCAAAAGCATTTTTTTTTACCAGCCAGCTTTTAGCCTGTGATTTATCTGCTTTAATTACAAGATCCTATCACAGAGTATTTACTAAAGCCAGGTTTTTCCCCATTGACTAGCGAATCACACAGATCATGAAAAGCTAATATTTTCAACTCTGTATGATGACTTGCTTAAGAGCTCTTTGAAGTTAAGCCTCTGTTTTACAAATTGATGTACATAATTTTAAGTCAGTTTCCCAAAATAATGTAAGAGAAATCCAAAGACAAATTTGGCATGTACCTAGCACATACATAATTACTAGGGAGAGAAAGGGTATGTCATCTGCCCCTGACTAAGCTCCATGCTTAGGCCCTGCAATGCATCCAATATGGTGCCTTGAGGTCTTTGTAGAATTCTTATAATTTAAAAAAAAAAAAAAAATACAGTCTTGTACTTACCTCTGTAAGAGTACAAGGATGCTTGGGAGAAGATTCTCATTCTGAGCCCCAAATTTTGCCAAAGCACTGACAGCAGCTACAACGAAGCGTACATGCAGGAGCGTAAGTACTAGTCTCTCAGGGTGAGGCCACAGCACTTAAAAGACTTACAGAAGCATCCCATGTTTGCTAGAGGGAAATGCTCTTGTTTTACTGAATGTTTCCTGATCTTACTTCTTTGACACACTTAAGCATAAATAGAATTTTGCAGGCCCAAGAAAGCTCTGAATAGAAAACACTCCATGCACTGAGGAAAAAGCAGCATATATATTTTCTGTATGAGCTACACTGCCATCCCACCACCCCCATTAATAAATCATTTAATGTTATCAAGCTCTAAAGGCAAACAACTAACCCCAGGCATACCAAGAACATCTACTACTAAAATTCCTCTCATTCAACAAAGATTCACTGCTCACCTAATTTTGTCAGGAACTGTGCTAGATACCAGGGATAGAAAGGTAAAATGGTGTCTGACCTCAAAGAGTTATATTCTAGTGCAAAAGGCAGGTAAAGAGATAATTACAAAATGGCACAGGAAGGCCATGGTAGAACTATATCCAGGGTGCTATGTGAGTGAACAGAAGAGAATTAAAATCAGAATTGGTGGTGGAAAAGTAAGAGAGGAAGCTGGCACTTCTTTGCACTAAAATTTGAAGAACAAGCAGAGTTAGCCAGAGGGAAAAGTCAAAGTAAGAATATTTGAGGCAGGAGCCCGGCAAGTCCAAACACCTCTGCTCAGAGCAGACAGCATGAGCTGTGACTGCACAGGCTGCGTGCAGGAGAGGTAAGACAGAAACAGGGTGTGGTTAACCCCAGTCATTATTAACTACGGGACAGACTGTATTTGAAGGAGTATTTTACTCTGCATAGCACTGAAAATGGACTGGGATATTTGTGAGAGCAGAAGCAGCCTCATGGGTCAGGCATCCGAAGGCTGACAGCCTAAGTCAGCACCCAGGAGGATGCAGAGCAGAGGAGATGAACTAGTGCTAAGGGGACAGAGTTGACAGAGCTTCGCTGAAGATCAGAGGGAGCTGTGAAACAGTGGCTAAGTTTCTCAGTGGATATAGCGGTGAGGATTATGGCTTGGCTTAGACTGAATTTGAGGTGCCTTCAGTAGTTGGAAATACAAATTCAGGACACTACTGGAATGTCACAGCATATTAGCAGAGTCTGAAAACAGCACCAGGAATAATGTGTAACAAAATCTTTAAAGACAACTAAATAACCTAAGGGAACAACCTGGGAAGAGAATCTCCATATGTAAAACAGGAAAGACAGAAAAATGCAGGCTCCTAGGGAAACTAGGGGACAAGGTTTTACGGAGTGTCTAGTCAACAGTACCTCGAAACTGACCAAGAGGGGAACAAAAATAAGAACTTTAAAGTGTCTAGCTTAATTTCCCACTAGTTTGTAAGTAATAAAAAAAATAGCTTCAGAGGATTTTTAAAGGAAAGGGCCAGATTGTATTGAATTGAGGAGAGTAAGTCAACTTCAAGTTTATCTCAGAGGCAACAGAGCAGTCAGTAGTAAATGAGAAACAAACGCTCACATGAGGGTTTACTTTACAAACATCTGAAAGGCAAAGACGCAGACAGACGTAGAGAGATCTCCCATCCAGTGGCTCACTCCCAAAATGCTCACAACAGCCTCCAAGCCGGGAGACAGGAACTCAGTCCTGGTCTCTCACAGGAGGCAGGAACCCAAGTCTCTGAGCCTGCTGTCTTCCAGGGTGTGCAAGAACAGGAAACTGGGAGCTGAGGTGGAACTGGCACTTGAAGCCAGGCCCACTGATCGGGACGCAGGCATCCCCAGCTAGGGCCTAACTCCCTGTGCCACAACCCTGCCCCTGGGTCACATTTTTCATGGGAATTTGACCGGTTCATATGCTAAGTGGGAAGAAGTGATTTCAGCTGAAGAGTACTTTAAAAAAATAAATATGCACACAAATTCTACATCTGGAAAGCCAAGGGTTCTTTATCTCTAATATAAGGCAAAAATCAGGATGGGCACTGTAGTATAAATAAATATATGCCTGGGGCCTGTCTGTGGCGCAGCGGGTGAAGCCGCCAGCGGCAGTGCTGGCATCCCATATGGGTGCTGGTTCAAGACCCAGCTGCTCCACTTCCCATCCAGCTCTCTGCTATGGCCTGGGAAAGCAGTAGAAGATGGGCCAAGTCCTTGGGCCCCTGCACCCATGTGGGAGACCAGGAGGAAGCTCCTGGCTCCTGGCTTCAGATCAGCACAGCACTGGCTGTTGCAGCCAACAGGGGAGTGAACCAGCAGATGGAAGACCTCTCCCTCTGCCTCTCCTTCTCTGGGTAACTCTGACTTTCAAATAAATAAATAAGTATTTAAAAGAAAAAAAAAACTATATATCTAGGCCCTAAGTTTGCTCCAAGATGCTACTGTCAAACAGATCTTGCAACTGGATTTTCCAATGTCATTACCATCCTTTTGAGTTCAGCATTTCAGAAGATCAACAGTTACTTCACTATCAGTGTTCCAATGACTCACCAGCTCTGACAGCCTCATTCTCCAGGACAACCCGGTTAAAAATAAAGCGGATATACTTGGAGGGGATGGGGGTTCTGGGGCCCTCTTTGCCCAACAAGTGTAGAATCTTGGTGGCCAGGACAGTGTGCTCGCAGTCCTCAATGAATTCACACAGGTGGGCCAGCCCTGCCTCTTTACTCTCAGGGTTCTCTTCCACAATGCTGATAATGCAGTCCACGATGGCCCGCTTGTAGTCAAAGCCTCCCTGGCAGAAGGGAAGAGGAGACTGTCATTCACTCTAAGGACACTTTTAGAGGAGTGCTTACACTCCAAGGCTCACGCTGACCAACTCAAATCTCATTTCTCTCCCTGAATGAAAGAAACAAGCAAAGCAACGTGCTGTCTAGTAATGACGAAACAGCAACCAGAATTGAGGCTACTGCTTGAGCGGCATGGTGAGATCGTGAAGAAATGTACTTAAAACACTGTGAAACCTTAAGCCCAGCAATCTTAAGAATCTGAGAGTCACTTCCCGTGGTCGGAAAGCAGTGTACCTACATCATCGCGAAGCATGTTGGACAGGAAGGTCATCATGACACTGTGCTTCCGAGGGTACTTCTGACAGAGGGCACTGATTGCTTGTACGACCACCACCTGCGGGAAGGGGTGCAGAACACGCACATCTGTAGTCACTGTCCAACCGCCACTTATGAAAACAAACACAGAACAGACAGTCACCTTTGTAACTCGAGCTGCTAAACATGCTTTGCCCATTATTTGCTGTAAGCCAAGAAGGCACTCTAACCTAAAATGACAGTGATGCTTCTTCACGAAAGGTAAGCAAGAAGATGAGAAGACCGCAAAAGAAAATTAAAAATGAAGTTTATTATATTAAAGAGATCCCATGTCTCTGCCCCAAGTAAGCAAGTGTAGAAAACTCCTTAAAGGGAACAGTAAATATACAAAGCCTGAACGGACTGACGTTCATAGAAATACAGAAAGCTACAAGGAATTACTTCACAAAATGGTTTTTAGGCACAACTTAAAGAGCATTGTCAAAGGGGGTGAGGGCTATGAGATTTTACGCTTCTTCTAGTTAATAAATTTACCAGCCAAAATTTCATGGATGCTGGGTCAGAGATGAAAGACAGCTAACCAGAGCAACAGCGGGAGCCAGAGGAGCAGCCTTTGGGGCTGGTTTCCAGAAGCCAGGTAGCCTGTGGCTCTGCAGGGGGCTGCATCACAGGTAGGAACCCTGCGGAGTGCCACAGGCGTGTCCACCGTGGGCAGCAGGCACGGCTCTCCCCTGCTCCGAAGGACATTACCAGCTACAGAGCGCGTTTGCGTCCGCTCCGGAGGCAGCACTGTTTCTTCTGGAGCTGTAAGGAAACCGCCCTTTACTTCAGGGAGACTCTCTCTCTCTGCTAAGGCCAGAACACACCTTGTACTACACCGAGGGAGCAGGGCGGGGATGGCAGGAAATAAGGGACAGTTAGTGCCTAACTTGCAAGATCTGCAGAAGTGCAGAGACCCCTGGAGAACTGAGGACTCTCTCCCAGCAACCGGAGAGCCGCATATCCAAACACAGTGTCTCAAAGCACACATCATAAAACAAATGTTCATAATCTTTTCAGGAAGCAATGACACCTAAACCTAATAAAGATGGCATTTATACACAGAAAGAAAAATTACAGACTGAAAAAATTTATAAATATTAATGTGAAAAGCCCAAGCAATAGATCAGCTAACAAACTCCAACACTACAGTTAGAAAATAATATACTATGATGATGATTTATACCAAAATTACAAGGATGGTCAACATTAGAAAACTGATTAATATTATTTATCATATTAATGAGTCCAAACAGGCTAATTATATCCAAAATGCTGAAAAGGCTTTGGTAAAATCTAACACCCAATCCTAAAAACAATTCTTAAAAATCAGAAATATGGATGGATAATTCCATAAGATAAAGTATATAATATATATGTATATGCGTGTATATATATATATATATGTATGTATGTATATATCCTAATGCTAGCATACTACTTTATAGGGAACACCAAGAGGCACTTCTTAAGGTTAGAAATAGTGCAAGGATGCCACTAGTATTTAACAGTGTTCTGGAGATGTTAGTCAATTCAAGTACAGAAAAAAAGTTACAGGAACAAGTAACAGAAGAAAAACCCTGTATTTTCAGATGACATGAAAACCCTAGAGAATCAATGATAAAACTCAATAATTCAGCAAGGTAGCAGGATATAAAATTAACATACAAAAACACTAACATTCACATACATGAATCATACAAGTTAGAAGATACAGTGGCTTAAATACACATAATCACAGCAAAAACATTTAGGAATAAGTATTTAGAAAACACTCAAAACCAATATAAAGATAGTGTAAAACATCCTTCAGAGACACAAAACTAGATTTGAACAGATTAAGACATCTTGGGAACACACACTATATGCAATGGGTTAAGCCGACACTGGAACACCTGCATCCCTCACTGGAGTGCTGGTCGGAGTCTCAGCCACTCTGCTTCCCATTCAGCTTTCTGCTAATGCACCTAGAAAGGCAGTGGATGTTGGTCCACGGACTAGGGCTCCTGCCACACACCTGGGAGACCAGGATGGCGCTCCTGGCTCCTGGCTTCAGCGTGGCTCCTCCCTGGTTATTGCAGGCATTTGAGGAGTGAGCCAGCACCTGGAAGATAACCTACCCCAATCTCTGTCTCTGCCTTTCAAATAAATAAATTTAAAAAAATTCATATTACAACCACACTGAAATAGTATTTTTTACCAAAAAGATGGCAAAACATCCAGAGCTTACTAACATACACTACTATGGGAAAACCACCATTCTTCATACATCACGGGTAGAACTTGGCATTCTCTACAAACTACTTATTTATCTTTCAACCTAGCACATGGACTCAAAGGAAATTGCGATGAGGATACACCACCACTGTTTTAGAAGAAAACATACACACACGGTACCCACACCAGCATTACTGACAACCGCACAATGTTTAATAAACGACATCACATATACCTGCCGGGGTCCTGTGCTGCTGTGAAACCAATGAGATATCCCTGTGAACTGAATACAGTGATTTCCGGTATAAACTGTTGGTGCTGAAAGGGCAAAGTGCAAAAGAGCACATATAGGATGCTCTCTGCCATTGACGGTAGAAGAGAATAAGAAGCCCGCGAGTATCCCTTGTGCCTTACAAACCTGAGAGCAGCAGAGCTGGTCACTTAGGAGAGTGCTGGAAGAGCTACGAGAGAAAGCAATGCTGCCGGCGCTGCGGCTCACTAGGCTAATCCTCCGCCTTGTGGCGCCGGCACACCGGGTTCTAGTCCCGGTCGGGGCACCGGATTCTGTCCCGGTTGCCCCTCTTCCAGGCCAGCTCTCTCCTGTGGCCAAGGAGTGCAGTGGAGGATGGTCCAAGTGCTTGGGCCCTGTACCCCATGGGAGACCAGGAGAAGCACCTGGCTCCCGCCTTTGGATCAGCGCAGCGCGCGGCCGCGGCAGCCATTGGAGGGTGAACCAACGGCAAAGGAAGACCTTTCTCTCTCTCTCTCTCATGTCCACTCTGCCTGTCAAAAAAATTTAAAAAAAAAAAGAAAGAAAGCAATGCTTTCCTAAATATACTTCTTTGTATCGTTCTGACTTCTGGAATCATTATAAAGGTCTACACATCAAAAAATATTATATTGGAAGTTAAAACTATAACAGTGATTATGAGAGGCTGGAGAGGTAAGCGGGGAAGGAAAGATGGGAGAGAGACTAATTAGCGGGGGATTAAATTATAGCTACACAGGAGTAAGAAATTTGGGGCCAACACTGTGGCACAGTGGGAAAAGCTGCCGCCTATGATGCTGGCATCCCATATGGGTACTGGATCAAGTCCCGGCTGCTCCACTTCCTGCTAATGGCCTGGAAAAGCAGTGGAGGATGGCCCAAGTACTTGTGCCCCTGCACCCATGTGGGAGACCTGGATTAAGCTCCTGGCTCCTGCCTTTGGCCTGGCCCAGTCCTGGCTGTTGCCGCCATCTAGGGAGTGAATCAGTGGATGGAAAGTCTCTCCTTTTCTGTCTCTCCTTCTCTCTGTAACTCTGCCTTTCCAATAAATAAATACATCTTTAAAAAATAAATTCTAGCATTCTAGTACACAACAGCGTGACTAATGATGTCGTGTACCGTCTGCCTCTCTAAGACAAGCCATCTAGAAGACAGGATTTTGGGTGTTTTCACCATAAAGAAATGTTAAATGTTTGAAGCGATGGACACACTCACCTCACCCTGACTTCACACTGATGTCACACATTGTACACATGTATCTAAAGATCACACGGTGTCCCATTAATAAATACACGTAAACATATTAACACACGCAAACCACCATGCTGAAGTGGTTTTGCTCTCATATATTTAGATCTGCAGTCCATCTGGAAATGATTAATGTGCACGGTTTCAGGGGGAAAGCAACCTGAAACAAATGACTCTGGTCAGGTTTCCGAAGATTCATGTAAACTGCACTGAAAAGTATAAAAGAAGAGAATGAATGCAAATAGCCCAGTCTGTACTCAACTACTCTGTGTGTACAAACATTAGAAGATCACTTTGTACGTGTAGTTCTTTGTATACTCTACACACATGAAACAGCAACAGAAACTAAGCTGAAATACACTGGGCTCAGCATGATCCCAGTTAGACTTCTCAGTGAGGGATGTGATCACTTCCATAGTTCAGCTAAGGAAGCTGAGTCAGCAAGAATTTGTGTGACTCACCTGAAGTCACATGTCTAACATGTGTCTCAGATTTTAAACCCAGAGATTTTTAAAAAGATTTATTTATTTATTTGAATGTCAGAGTTATAGAGAGAGAAGGAGAGCCAGAGAGGTCTTCCATCCGCTGGTTCACTCCCCAGATGGCCACGATGGCCAGGACTCAGCCAGGATGAAGCCTGGAGCCAGGAGCTTCATTAGGGTCACCCACATGGATGTCAGAGACACCTGGGCCATCCTCCACCGCCTTCCCAGGCACATTAGCAGGGAGCTGGATTGGAAGTGGGGCAGCCAGACACAACCCAGTGCCCGTATGGGGTGCCGACATCACAGGGGGTTTTACCTGCCATGCCACGGCGCTGGCCTCCAAAGCCAGAGGTTATGACTCTAGAGGTCATTCTTTTAACCACCACAGACCGCTTTCCAAACTTCTGACTCAACTGCTTGTACGTGTGCATTTTTCTTTCAAAAATAGACTGCGGAGTGAGACTGTTGAGATTCATTTAGATTGAAGAGATACTGCCAGAGTTTTCCAAAATGTCTGCAGTAATGTAACATTCCCACTCAGGGTACACTGCGTCCCCACTCACAGTACTGGGCGTGGGCGACTGCGCACAGCCTGGATAACCTAACACTCCCACTCAGTACTGGGCGTGGGCGACTGCGCACAGCCTGGATAACCTAACACTCCCACTCAGTACTGGGCGTGGGCGACTGCGCACAGCCTGGATAACCTAACACTCCCACTCAGTACTGGGCGTGGGCGACTGTGCACAGCCTGGATAACCTAACACTCCCACTCAGTACTGGGCGTGGGCGACTGTGCACAGCCTGGATAACCTAACACTC